AGGACGACGCAGCGAGCGATGGAAAGGAAGATGGTCGGTGTAACGTTAAAAGACAAGAGAGCAGAATGGATTAGGAAACACACCGAAGTTAAGAATATCATAGTTGATATCAAGAGAAATTGGACATGGGCCGGGTATGTAGCGTGTAGACAGGATAACCGTTGGTCATTAAGGGTAGCTAACTGGATTCCCGGAGAAGGCAAGCGGGCTAGGGGGAGACAGAAAGTTAAGCGGGTAAGTGATATTAAGAAGTTTGTGGGCATAGATTGACAGCAGCAAGCTCAGGACCGAGCCGACTGCCGGAACATGGGAGAGGCCTTTGTCCCGCAGTGGACGTAGTCAGGCTAATGATAATGATGATCGTGAAGGAAAGAAAAGATATATTTGCAACGTACGCACCAAGTACGAGCTGACAAACTAAAAAATGTCTTATAAATTGTCCAGCTAATATGTTTTTTGAAAATCAACAGTCGCCGGTGGTGTTGACGGCGGCGGTGGCTTGGTGGGTTGAGGTGGCGGATGTTGGCCTTGTATCAGCAGCTGGAGTCAATGGCTGACCTGCATTTCGACACTTGGCGAAAGACGAGGTAGCCTTTCCCTCGTCAGAACTGCGGCTGCTTACGGACGCTGGCTCGTTCCGAGGAGGTGACCACCACCCAGAAGGTTCCGCCCTCCGCGGGCGGTTGAGTACCGGATTTGAGGCCTGGACACCTGAGACGTAACCTAGAACAGTCACAGCCGGAACTCTAGAAGGCCGCGTACCTCCGAGTACCCCGTGGGCCGCTCGAGCGTTCTAGCCTTGCCTGACTTCACGCGTTCGGATCCAGAACCCGACACCACAGCCGCGCAACACTCCTGTTCTTCACCCCATCCTCCTCGATCTCGTTCTGCGCTCGACTCGTCTTCGAGTGTCCTTCTCTTTTTCTCTCTCATACCTACTTCCCGTTCGTGTTCACCGGGGTCTTGGCCCCGCAACCTTTCGCGCAAACTTTCTCTTCTTTCTGGCGCGCCGCAGCTTCAGGCGTGAGATTTCGCGCCGACGTCACCGTAGTCCCTCCGCTGCTTAATCGAGGAGCACCACTGCCGTCGCCTCTAAGCACGTTGTACACAACACTACGTTGCCACCACACTTCACAGACACCACCGCGTCACTATACAACACCACACTTACAACTCCTAAGGGTTCCAGAAGAGATTGGCAGAGATTCAGTTCAGTGAGCGGCTCCGAGCGACTAAGCTCAATAAAGTAAACGAGCACAGTCAGACGGCTTACCACTTTACCTGGCGTTGGTCACTCCGTATATCTCTCATACGACGTTTTAATTCATAACGACTGCGCTGGTAGCACCAAATGTTCCTTCATTTACAAATCTGGTGAAGGGGATTCAGAGTTACAAATCGCATAAATGACGACCCCTATGATTTTCGTTATCATGACAAAGCTAATACCAACTACACCTCATTTCGTAGATCTCGTCCACGTGCCCTACAATCTCCTTGTCACGTGCATGGGGCACTTTCTTCTTTTACAAGCCCGCGCTCGCGCATTGCGCCATGCTGGTGTGCTCAACTCTTTTTTCACTTTTTTTCATTGCATCTGCTCCTTCAAGCTTTCCTGTTCTTTGCGCATCTTCATCCATACATCTTGCAATTACGCATTTTGTAAACACTGCGCCAGGCAGTATGTGCTAGCAAAAAAAAGGCTGCTTTGCATTTACACATGATTCTCTCATTTCCCTATTAGAAAAAACATGTGTAGACGCACAGCAGCAGACCCTAACGCTTACACTGGCAGTGGCGTTGACGCTCGCACTCATCATGGCATTGCGTAAGAGAGGAATCTTGGCAGGCGCTAAGCACGAAGTGATTCACCGGTGTTTTTTACGGGAACATGTCAATTGGTGCTAAAGGACGATGACAAGCGGAAGACTCCGATTGTACACAGAAGCCCGCAGTCGTCTTTATTTTCAGTTTTCGACAACAAGCAAGAGAAATATCTCACCAGCACTACGTTGGTACGTTGGGAATATATATATATATATATATATATATATATATATATATATATATATATATATATATATTATATGCGAGGTGGCCAGTGAATGGTTGTGCAGCCCGCGCAAGTAGTTTTTTTTCAGTCAAGACAGCAGACGCTGCCTCCAATGGCGTTGCGAGGAGAAAGAAGGGGAAAGTGTAGTAGAGAGGGGGAGGGGTTGTGTGTGCCCAATGATGGTGTTGACGCCACTGGGAGGGGATGTCTAGAGGAAAGAGAAGGGGGAGCGAGCTTATGCTAGCAGACGCGACCTGTGTCGGCATTGGGAGGTGAAAGAGGGCAAGAATAGCAGAAGAGACAAAATGGGCGCACATGCGCTGTTCTGATGGTCTCAATAGATTGAGCTCAGCCATGAGACGCTTCTCACGTAAAAAAGAAATGGCATATCCGACGTACAGTGGGAAGCGATGATATGCGATGCACGAGTGGCATGTCACTTTAAAATCAGCACAACATTACGAAGCGAACGTAAATTATGTCGTGCATGACCTCGATGTCATGATTGTCATGTCTGCACGTGTCATTTACCTTCGTCCGTCTAGTGACGTCACCGTGATACCAACTTTGCTATATGTGGAGCAAGTGAAACTGCCGCGAGCAGGCTATGAGCGTAGCATAAAGTCATAATTTACATGACAAGCAGTATCATGATTGTCATGTTCTAACCTGTCATTTACCTTCGCGGTCCATTCACCATCGCAGAATACCAAATTCGGTATATGCGGAGCGGACGAAACAACCGCGAGTATCATGTAAACGACCACGAGAGTATCATGTGAAATGACCACGAGTGTCATGTAAAATATGTAGTCATATTTTATGTGACACGCATATGATTATTATGTTCGGATGTGTCATTTACCTTCATCGTCTGTTCACGTCCCATGATAGCAAGTTTTCCATGTTTGTATATATGTGGAGCTAGCGATATGGCCGCGAGTGCGCTATGACCGTATCATGTAGTCGTGTTTTACATGACACGCTTGTCACGATTGTCATAATTGGACGTGTGATTTACCTTTGTGGTCTATTGACGTCTCGTGATACCAAATTTTTTCCATGTGGAGCTAGTGAAACAATCAGCGAGCACGCTACGAGCGTAGCATGATATGGATATCATGATTATCGTGTTTGGACGTGTCATTTACCTTTGTCGATCATTCCTTATCCACAGAAATATTGGGGTTTCTTATCCACGGAGTGTAGCTGGTAATATAAAATAATACTATAGCATTAATAAATGGTGGCTGGTATCGTAAATAAACTTAACAAGAGATAGAAGGCGAAGGTGGTACAGGCCTACGCGCCTACTTCTATCTATGATGTCGTCTTAATCGAAAGCTTTTATGAAGGCGTGAAATCAATAGTGAGTAAGGTAATACACCCTAAACTATACTGATCGGAGACTTTAATGCAAAGGTATGAAAGAAGCAGACTGTAGGCCACGCATGAAGGGATTATGGCATCGGTAACAGTAATGCCAGATGGAAGTTATTAGTAGATTTCACTGATCTCAATAATTTAAGGGTCTTCAATACTTTCTACCGAAAACGAGTGTACTGTAAGTGGGCACCGAGAGGCTCGTTCGCTGGATTTCGTGCCGGCCGGGTGTGCCCCCGCGATCTCCGATGACAGCGCAGCTCTGGCCGACTGGCTCGTCCTACGCCATTTCCTGACGCCGGCAAGAGTTCTCACTGAGTGGTGCTCCATTCTCAGACTCTTGTGACCGAGTACATCTTTACTATTTTTTCCTTACCACCATGTGGCTGTCCCGGCCTCTCTCTCTATCTCTATACCTTTGATTCCTCCCTATCTTTTTAATTCCTTCATACCCCCATCCCTCGTGAGCGATTGCTGAGTTGTCCATCCCCTGAGAGACAGTTACGGGGCCCACTTTTAACTTCTTTTCCTTTAAGAATCGCTCCCACCCACCGAAGAGACCTAATGGCGAAAGTAAGAGCGAAATATGCTTTGCACTGAGTTGCGGATGTGGAAGATCTTAGAAAAGGTACAGTGCAGTGAGTATAATATAATGGTATTGTCTCGAATTGAGAGAGAAGTAAAAACTAGAAGAAAGAATGACAGAAACTTACATGCAGGAAGCCCATCAATGATCTAGCGCTGTGAGGAAAAGTACAGGAGTTCAGAGTCTCGCTGCAGAACAAATGCTAGACTGCTATCAAGGAAACCGGCCTTAGCGCTGATGCAGGGAATGATAATACGACAAGTATCGTTCAGGAGTGGGCAATGAAAGTTGGAGGTATGGTAGTTGGATAGGACACTAGCAAGGTGTTTCAGGGGAATGAAGAACCTCATTAAGAAACGTCAAAGTATGAAAGCCCCTACAACAACTGAAAAATAGAACTGGCAGGGGTTTTGAAGTTGATCATTGCGCGCAAGGTATCAGATGTAAAAAGATATAACATTGAGAAAAATGAACATGCTCTAAAGGAGGGTGGAAGCGTCAAAGCGGTGAAGAGAAATCTTGGCAGGCGAAATCCATATGCATGTGTGCACTCAGGGACAAAGACAGCAGAGTAACCACCAATATGGAAAGGATAGTTGAAGTAGCGGAGCTGTTTTATGGAGGTTTGTACACTAGCCGGGACAACTGCGGCGATAATCTAACAACTAGCAGTACACCTGATGACATTCCAGCAGTAATGACTGAGGTGAAGGTAGCCTTGGAAAGAATTCAAAAGGAGGCACAGCTGCTGGTAAGGATCAGGAAACATCTGATCTGCTGAAAGGTGGAGGACAGATTCACGCAGTAGTGGAAGGCGCGAAAATTCCAACCACATCATACTCAGTGCCACTCATTTTGGGCATTTCACAAGCCATTCATTTTCATGGTACAACATTCAGACACTGTCATGCTGCGAATGCTTACAGTTAGCCTTCTCTGAGGCTATAGCTACATATCAAGGGTAAATGCGAACCAAGGTTAAGTGTTTTAACATACCACAGTTACCTGATATATGTGCTAGTGATGTGACCCCTGAAATAGAAGGGCGAAGATGCAATACACGAAAAACCACTTTAATATTCATAATTCCTTCGTTAGAGAAATGTTAAGGGTACCCAACTAATTAGTCTTTTCTTGAGGCTTCTTACCAGTTCCAATCCCACGGATTCTTCCTGCAAGAAAAAAAACGAACATCAACTGTTATGGCTGCAGAATGAAGAAACCCTAGAAATGCATTGCTTCGAATAAAAGCTGAGTTATAGCTTCACTCGTTTCGTATGTACCCGCAAATATAAACGTTCTCACGCCAGACCTTCGGTGGGTGAAAGTTTTTTAGAACCACCGGCTCATTTTTGCTACGACTGTTGATCTTACAGTAGTGCTGACACTGCTGAGAGCTTACGCCGTGATATTACTCCCCGTGACAAAAGCTTGTGTATAACATAACTCACTATGGTTACTAGATGCTCTGAGTAACGCTCTATGGTTTACATGTCGGTATATACCCAATAAAATGAACGGGAGAACGGATGCCATTACAGTTCAAATAAATCTATCCTTCGGATACGTTACTGGAGGGCCGTACGGGGTTTTTTTGTTTGTTGTTGTTGAGGGCGAGATTTTGTACATTTGACGAGGACTTTACATAGTGCAAGTGGGATGCTGCGCTACGTAGTCCGGATTCAGTGAAACAACTATTCGCAGTCTAACAGGTTCACGACGTGGCGGAGAAGCTAGGCCGATTTGTGAACACGTGAGAGAGGCCCGCTACATGTTCACGACCAGATGGACCTAAAGGAAATTCCTCTATACCATACCATTTATAATATTGACTAAAATATACCTAAACTACTTAAGGTGCCTACTTGTGAGATCCTTTAGCTTGTGTGTAGAAAGATAACAAGCACGTCGTGCATTCCGTTCTGTGGCTCCTCGTTTCAAACAGGCTGTGGACGTCTTGTATTAAAAAGATGTAGCAGCTTCCTTCTGAGATTAGTACTGGCTTAGTTATTGTTATTCTTTTCTATTTCAGCGTTATTGTCACAGAACGAGCGCTAAAAATGGGCGCGCCGCCAAATTCTTGCGATAACGCGCGAAAGAGACGCCGCGAGGTCGAAAGAAAAGAAAGAAAACAAACATCCAAGGCTCCCCGGGGCGCGCGCTCTCCTCTCGAAAGCGTGGCTTCGCCGACGAACCTCCTCACCCCACAACGGCGATCGAGCAAGCGCTGGAAAGTTCCAGAAGGAAATAGGCGTGGTCATACCGAGCTGAGTCATCTGCCGCGGAGGGCGTTCCAACCGTCTCGCCCTCTTCCCAGCCTTCGCTGCGTATCGCGCCGACGAAATGATGAGAACCTTCTGGAATGTCGCGCGGAAGGTATTTAACCGAGCAGCGGAAATGAGAGAGCAGGAGAAGACGGAAGTGAGCGCCAGAGCGCGAAAGGATCCCGCCATGTAGTCGGCGAAGGTTTTGTTCGTAGCGGCAAAGCAGGAGATGAAGAGGATTTCCACCTGAGGGGTGAAGGCTCAGCTACAGGCAAGAACGTGTGTTTACCGCTATCGAGCGAAGACGCGTAGCAACAGCTGCATGTGTGAAGCCGACGTGTTTCGGGCGAAGAAGTTTGAAGCTTGGAGAGTGGCCTATTGAAGACGGGAGATTTCCTGGAAGAGAAACTTCAAGGGCTGCGGAACGACAACAACGCTGGACTTTGAGTGAGTGATTCTCGGAAGGGTATCATCCAGACGTTTGTTCCAAGAACTTGGGACTGAATAGGTGTTCTATCTCTTTAGTCTTTAAGTGTCTTGGTTGTTCAATGCATGCGACTGCATTGTAGTGCGTATTGTTGTCTGTGTCCGTTGTTTTGAGTGTGGCTGATTGTACTGTGTAGTACGTTGTTTGATTGGTGACGTATTGTATGTAACTATTGTGGAGTGTGCATTCTTGTGTATTGTTTTCGATCTGCCATTATTGAGAATATAATTTCGTTTGTTTATCAACTCTCGGCTCTGACTTGTTCTTTGGGCCACAACCGGCGTCCGCTGGCACGCCAAAAAGGACCACTCCTAATTGTCCACGCTTTCGTGGTGCGGTTCGGGGGGCCAATACTTCGGCCCTTGGAATTAGCCCGGCGATCGCCTCCCTAATTAACGGGATCTGTGTGACAGTTATGATGCATATAAAGAAGATAATTTTTATGCATTAAGGCATAACGCACCTTTTAATTTCCAGACAGACTATTCCTAATTAATTCTCACGTAGGTGGTAAGTGTGCATGCTTCAATGAATAGTAAAATGAAGAGACTGCATGTCACCCTAGAATGCTTATCTATAATAGGACTTCCCTTTTTTTTTGTGAGCAGCAATAAATGAAGCAGGAAATCACTGTACATGTTCGTTTTCATGTTACCGTAAGTTTTGTGTATTCACGACATCATTCTCTCAATTTTTTTTGTTATCTCTACCCATTTGAAGATAATGTGACAATCAGTAAACGTCGTAGATGAATTGTTTTTGAATCTGGTCGTTTTCTCAGTTCATTGATCACCGAAAGGTAATCTATGGAAATGTACAATTCTTGAAACCTGCTTGCTCTCCAAGTTGCACTAAGTTAATGATTGAGGCTGAGTTTGTACAGGACAAAGCGTGGAGCCCTCGAAATCCCCCCTTTTATTACCGCTTTTATAGCGAGGGTCCTGTTTCGGCATTGCCTTGATGTAGTAAACGAGTGCTCATTGGTCAGTTTCCGCTCTTTCAGACATCACGTACTACGTAACACCAACTGGCAGAGAGAGTGTGTTGCAGACTCGCCGTTAGTAAAAAAAAGTTTCTTGACTTTTTTTTCTGGTAGTCATGACGTGTGACGTATACGACTCTCGTAAAAGAGGCACGGCGGCCCTCTTTGGGAGTGCCTTATACTCTCCTCTGAGAGTCATGTAAAGGACAAGATAATAAAAGTGCCTCTATTCAGTAAATCTTATACGTTGCATGTCAGGGCCAAAGAATTTCACAATATTGCCTAAAAAGGACTGGTGCTGCGATTCTTAAGTCACTATGGGAATGAGTGGCACTAGGCCGCACCGTGAGGTCCGAGGTAATGTGCTTGTCTCCTTGCTCTTGTGTTCGCCACATTGTGTTCGCCACATTGTGTTCACCACATTGTGTTCGCCACATCGGTATTTGATGTCCTGGTGAATCTATCACCAAGTTGACGTAATAGATGGATGATTATGTGCACCTCTCATTTAACATATTCTCTGTTGTGTCAATTGTAAGGTGTGTGCATTTGCTGTTTGGTTGATTCGACTTCTACTGTTAGCCCTATGCGAAGTATTATTTTTTGCGATGTACATCAGTGAAAATCAGAATGTATCCCTGAACACTGCTTTGTACTGCATGTTGGATGCTCTGAACATAAGCTCAATAAATTTTTCCTACGAATAGCACAAATTTCGCTCGTCTTCCCACTTATTGCTTAGAATGTACACGTGGCTTTGCTTATGGCTGCGTTTTGGGTTTTGCTTGAAATAAAAAAACAGACTGTTGTGTAATACGTGAATCGATTTGAATCGGTGAACCTAAAATATTAAGGTAGTCAGGCGTAACTGCTGAGCTTTTTCCGCAAGTCCGTCTTGCGCCAGAGCGGATTCAGGCTACACCGAGTCAAATAAAGCCACAAGAACGAACACTAAAAGAATTTTTGTACTACCATTCATTCTCATGCAGGCTGAAGCGCCTGTGTCGTACATTCCGTACACTAGAGCCATAGATTCCTCTAGTGAGGAGGAGTAGCAGGACAAGAACAACAAGACAGAAAGCAGAGAGGTTAACCACGCACATGCCCAGTTTGCTACCCTACGCTGGATGAATGGGAAGGAGGAGTATAAAGATGAGAGGGAGAGAGTTTATAGCAAACTCTACGGTCAGGATTACCCGAAAGGACTAACACACACACACACACACACACACTTCTTTTAAATAGAGTGTGGCTGCGCGCGGAGCTAATCCAGGTTCGCGTGCACATAAACACTCGATAATGTGCAAGACGCGATGACCATGGCAGTATTGCAATCGATAGAGCATGGGGCCTGTTATCAGAAGGTTCGAAGTTTGGTTCCTACCGATGCAAAAATATCTTTTCTTGCAGTTTGCTATCTTACATATATAACGTATTTACTACGATAACACTAAAGCAATACAATTAGGGTGACCTATTTATTCTTTGCCGCATTATCCACTGGCTGTTTTTGAAGTTGGGTTAAGTAAAGAAATTGGCCCTTAAGGTTCTCACTTTCTTAAAAAGTTAAAAATGTTTGTAATAATATTCCAAATAACCTTCGGGCTGATTTTGTTCAATGTGCGGCGGTGAAAAAGCAAAGTGTGCCGCAGACAATACTACGGTGTGAGGTGCGACCACTGATTGTTAGTTGTTGGCGTTGATACTGTGATCATGGTGCAGGTTTTCGCCTGTTACTTTACGTTAATAAACACCCTTCAAAACGTTGAATGTTAACGCATTGGTCTCTAATTGTTCTAGTCTTCTATGTCTCCCTTTATGCGTGTGAAATTCTGGCATTTGCCAAATCGCGGTACATCCTAAACATTGTGGAATGATGTCCCCGGTGCCTCAAGTGCCTGAAATCTAAAGTAGCCGTCATCTTAGAACACGTTCATTGATATCCCATTGGCGGGCACAAGCGTTGTAGCACCTTCGTACCTTGATTGGTGCCTATGCATGGAGTTTTCATATTATTGCCGACTTTGATTTCGCTCACGTAGTTTGAACTGAATAGTTGAGGCTCGAAGCCCTCTGCCACAACCACTATGGTAATAAAATTATCAGTAATTACTGCCATTCATCTCTTACTGGATGCACTATGCTTCGTTGTATACCGATTCTTTCTTTGCTCTGCCTTGATGCCACGGCTCCCTTTTAGTGGTTCGTTGACCATGTGCGCGTTATTATTGTGTAGCAAAAGTTCCCAGTTTCTTATCAGCGTTCACAGGTAAACGAAACCTGCGTTATCTATTGAGGTAGTTATTTCCACTTACAGATATAACTAAATAACTCTTTAGTAACCTTACAAAGGTGACCTAGAGCTCTTCTATGTGCTTTTCTTCCCATTTTCAAGGGCACTAGAGACATCGTTTTTGAACAAACTCGTTCATGTCCAGGATGTTTTTTTTGTTTTTCTTTGTAAAGAAGGGCTTTATTTTTTATTGATCGATGTTGTTCTTTCTCTCTCTCAGTTGAGTGTGATCATCCGACCACCAGCCAATAATCACATTTACCTTGACGATTAGTTCAATTTACGGTAGTATGCCTAGGTAATGCCAACCAAAATACAAGGCAAACGATTTCCTTTTTTCACCTCCGTTAGAATTTTCACATCTCACCTACATAATTCTTAAACCACCGAAGATGGTGAGAAATATGGATGGAGGGTGAATTTGGCTCTGCGAACTTCGCTAACGTCTCGCGTCTGTCAATGAACGTTTGTAAAGTCGGGCACCAAATGCTAGAACTAGAAGCGAGGTTACATAACGAGCATCACAACTGCCGATGTTTTACGTTTATTTAAAGTCTGTACCCCTTGGTTTGCTACTGAGCGTTAATGTGGCGCGATCGTCTACATCGGCCCCTTTGTGTGATGTCAAGAATAGAATATCTAAATATTACATGCTTTCTCACAAGTGGTGAGCGACGATAACAAATGCTACGTCAAAATATGTATAACTTGTTGCAAAATACTAAGAAAATATTCACACACTTCTTAATGAACGAAAGTATGGCTTTTGTTGATTTGAGTAGTACACCTATTCAATGTATTCCCCCAACAGGCTAAGGGTCACTGCATGCTTCGCGACATTTCATTGCGAAGAAGTGAAAGGCTACTTTACTTTTTTCCGGATCGCTTGCAGGAATCCGCGTAGATCTTATCCCTGCAGTAGTCACCACACAGCTTCGCTACTTTCAAATAACAAGTCGTTTGTGAATAATCAATATTTTTGTCACGCACGAACATCTCGCACTTTCCTTTCCCTGCAATAAAGAAAAAAAGGAAATTAAGGTACCCGGTATACGAAATATGGGTTGATTTCAGAAAAGAAGCAAATTGACCTTAGAAGATGCTGCAAACACATACAAACATATCGTCTAGTCGTCTTGTAATAAGCGTGCTTCAGACCACTAAACTGTCAAACAGTTGCTCTACAAGTCACAATATTCTGCTTGGTCTTAGTCCCATCAGAGCGACAAAATCTACGCGGAAAGTGCACACAAAAAATATTTGCATATCTCCACGAAGTGAATCATTACGAGAGGACCGACCCATGGGTATCGTATGGTTGAGTAATCATGCTTAACCTGAGCGTTGACACTTGTAGTGTAAATTTAGTGAAAAAATATGATAAAGAGTTTGGGAAGAAGTTCCACATTTTAAGTTCCACAATGTCTATATTGAAGTTTCCGACTATACTCATTATCTCACAAGCTCCTTGCAGCATTTTAGAAGCTTAAGGCTGCATGGCATCGGTATCCTGGTGCACTTCAACAAAGTATGCTCAGGAGGTGCGTACTTTTGTTAATCTAATTACTACTCTAAGTGCTATGGTGCGTGCTATCACAATTTGAAACCAACTAGAAGATCTCCACTTTAGTATCGTAATTAGTTTTTTTTTACTTTTTACCAACGTGTTCGATAAGATAGTTTCTTGCACACTCACACAATATGGTGAAAGTATGCGATAAATCTGTCAACTGATTGAGCACTGATTTAATAGCATTCTTGAAAAAGATGGGAGATCTTTATTGCATGTGGGCAAAGAAATGCAGGCCAAAAGTTGCCGCCCGCAACTTCCCGTGGGGGGGAACTCTAGTAAATGTTTCGCAGGGGGGAGGGGGGAAATTTGTCAATGTTCAATAATGCGGTAACGGATGGCAAAGCTTAATTGTTATTACGTCTTTACTATACTTACTTATGAAGAAGCGTTGCCTTCAACGTCAAACGAAAACCAAGTAAAGACGCCCTTGAATTATTTGCGGACGCACGACGGTTTTGCAGCGCCAGCCATCATTTTTTTACTACAGACAAATTTTACTGGACTTAGTTCACGAAAATGCGGTGGCGCTGTCTTTGTAGGCAAAAGACTCTCTGCCTACCGCAGTTTCTGCTGGGCTTTCAATGGTGCATGTGCTGTTCTCAGTCAAGCAACGATCTGTGTTTTGGAGGACCAAATAAAAGTTTATCCAATCCAATCCAACGAGGAAAAAAAAAAACGGTATGCCGACGAGCTGCGTCGCGGTTGAATGTGAGTCGCGTCCAACAACTTAGTTTTGTTTGTTGGCGCACCTCGCATCCCTCAGCGCTTATAGCGAAAGTTACCAGCGGACGTCGCTATAATTTTACCCATAATGTCGACATCGGCCTACCTGTGTTTACAAACAAGGAATGGGTTTATAATCGGTGACAAGCTAAGAGTGAAAAGTAAAGTGTACCACAGTCCATTGGTATTATCAACGCCTCCTAGTATATTATGCGCGTCCAAGTGCGGCCGCTCATTACTATGACGTAAGATTCACGATGAACCAATGGCAAATTCAGCATGGCGCCGTTCACGACGAGAGGCGATGTGCCACTGCACAGAGACCATCGGCGTCCATTTGGTTTTCTTTGGTGTTTTTAAATGCAGAGCATTTCTTTGCGAACTTCAGCGACTTTGACCGTATCTATCTATCTATCTATCTATCTATCTATCTATCTATCTATCTATCTATCTATCTATCTATCTATCTATCTATCTATCTATCTATCTATCTATCTATCTATCTATCTATCTATCTATCTATCTATCTATCTATATAGCCGCCTACGACTTTTAGCTCTCCTGGCCGTTTAGCTCTTGTTGAGAAACGGCGGACCGATCCCGCCGAAGCCACCACTGTTGCGAAAGACGGCGACGCCAACACGGCCCCGGAGGCGCCACTGCTTTCAACTCCGCCGGGAAGGTCACCAGCCGTTTGGTAGCGTATGTTTATCAGCTCGCGACTGCTTCTGCGCAGAGCTGAGGAGACGAGCGGACGAGACGACGGTGAGTTAAACAAGGTTTATGTACAGCATATATACAGAGGCGTTACAATTCCGGCACTGGGGCCGGCAGAGACTCGAAGAGCCGAGCTCCTCTCTCTAACACATAGGTCAGCCTTTCGCCTAAAACCGCTGACTCACACACATGTCGGCCCTCCGACACGGGGACTCCTCTCCTAGGACCTCCGATCGCGACACGCCGCAGGGCTTCTTTTATTTACACCGGGTCCCACCAAAGTGTCCAATCAGAAGCGCCGCTGGTCGTCAGAGCAGATTCCACCAATGGGGGCCGCCGCGCCATGCGTCAGACCACCTGACACGAGGACGCCGGCTCGCTGTCACGTGCGCAACTGACTCACTGCACGTGGGCCAGAGGAGCGCCGCGCGTGTTCACGCCGTCGAGGTGATCGCGCCAGGCAGACTGCGGGCTGGCCTTGACCCAGATTGCTTTTTTCCGAGGCACGGACGTTTGACGGGGACTCGCTGGCATAACAGCACCCCCGCCGCCAGACAATGCACCGGAAAGACGAGCTGCTTCCACGGGGCTCGGATGTCAGGTGCGCTCGTTCGCCAGGTCCCTCCAGGTTCGCCTCCAGGGCCATGGGGAGAATACAGCTCCAGACTGTTCCGGGAACACATCCCATTTTTGACGACGGATCCCAGCTCCACTGGCTCGTCGCCACACCTTGTCGAGCAGCTTCACTCGTCTCTTCTGACCATCTTCGGTTTCAGCACTTGTCGATGGTTCTGCAACTTGCTAAGAACGGTTCGACAACAGACAACACACGACACAAGCAAGTGCCATCGGTCACCCGACAGAACACCAGACAAAGTATAGTACAACATATACCTATCTACGTGTCTATCGGAATTTTGTTCCCTCTACATCAAGAGGCACATGTGGGACACAAGACTCTTAAAATGACAACTCAATATTTTTTTTTTCCACGTACAACAACGTAACGAATAAGAATACCACAAAGTTCGCCCCTTGAGATCACTCTGAACGAGAGCGCTCAGCCCAGGTCGAGATGAGGTCAAAATTTTGCCCCGAATCGCCAGCCAGAAACCGAAAGGTTGAGAAGGTACTAGCTAGAACGCACTGCTCAATGCACCTGCATTAACGTTTACCTTTCCTTTTTTTTTTCTTTAGCGAACGTCAAAGTTGCGCTGTGGAGCAACGTGCTCCACCTCAGTAACCGGCCACTTTTAGGCGACGATACCTATGCGGCACCAAGAGCGGCTCACACTTTCGACGTTGTACAGGGGAACAACGATACGGCTTGCTACTGATTGACTCCTCACCGCTTAGCTCGATATCGTGTTCGACCACCGTCGCGTCTCCGGGACGGTCCGACAACACATACCCAAACTCGGAAACAATCTTTCTCAGGTTCTCTTTCTCAGCTCCTCCTTCACTTAAGCTAGGCTCTAGGTTTATCTGCTCCCGGATTACTTTCGATCCCCCTTCGATCACCTCACTAGAACTCAAATTTTCTGCTTCCTCTTCCTCTGAAGCCTTCAACAGCTGATTTACGACCGCTTGATATTGAACATTGGGTTTCATCAAGTTGTAAATTTTGTTCTGCCGCCTTCCTACTTGCACCTCATAATTTGTATCGCAAGGCTTCGATAATACTTTGGCGGGCCCTTCCCAATCAACCTCTAGCTTGTTCTTTTTGAACGGCTGCGGCAGCATTACCTGACTCCCTACTTCAAAAGCACGCTTCTTCACCGATTCCTCGTAGTGCTCCTTCGACAGCACTTTTGCCGCGTTTTTCTGGCTTTCCACGAGCGCTTCAATCGAGAGATCCTCACTCTGCCCTCGAATGAGCGTCTCTCGATCAACTCTCGGCAGCTCGCTCCAACTTTCCGCAACAGGCGAGAGCGTTGCAACCCTCTCGCTCTGACTCAATGGCGCCACGTCGTCTCCCCCAGCGCATACCGCGCCGGCCGCTCCCGCGACGGGCCGCTCGCGTGACTGCTCACATGACTCATGCGGAAAATTTCCTTTCTGGGGTTCCGTCGACCCGCCGACAAGGTCACTTGAGAGTTCACCGCATGGAACCAAGTCAAGCTTCCGCGAAAGCTTTCGCGCTTGCGATCGCGTGAGAGCCATGCACGCTAAGTTGGGGAAGAACGATTTGCCCTGATCTTTGAGAAGCTGCTCTGAGTTGTTGGAGAATAGGTAAGGAAAACGATCATTTAGCGCGGCAGACACAGCTGCTTCGGTGCAAAGCTTACCGAACGGGCCTTCAATGACAACCGTGGCGATTGGTAAGCGAACACTCTGCACCTCGGCGACTTGCCTAATCCACGCGCATTCTCCTGTGAAGTCATCCGGAGACACCAATGAAGGATGGACAACGTCCATGGTTGCCGCTGAGTCTCTAAGTGCTCGGCACGTTTTCTCATTGACCCTAATTTCTTGGAGATACGGCTCCAACAACCGAATGTTTTTTTCTGATTCTCGGATCGTTGCGAAGGCAAACTTTTCCTGACAGTTTCTCGCGATGTGCCCTTCCTTTTTACAGTTGTAGCAGATTAGCGGCTTCCGTTTGTTTTCCGGTTCTAATGCCTGTGTGGTAGAAACCTCACTCGATCTCTCCGCTTCTGTTTGCCCTTCCCCTACACTGTCCTTCGTAAGAGACGGGTCCTTTTTGAAATTACGGTGCGGAACGGGTTTCCGTTGATCAGGTTTCCTTGAAAAGCCCTCTTTCTTTTCATCCTTTTCAACGCGCGCTGCCCTGCTATGCAACTTTCGGCGAGTATAATACTCCTCAGCTAACTCAGCTGCCTTGTTTAACTGTACGTCTCCAAGTCTGTCCTGCAGCCAAAGTTTGACATCCTCCTCGATGCAGCGGTAGAATTGCTCCAATGCAACGCATTCCACCACTTTATCGCGGTCGTCATAAACACCTTCGCCCTTGAGCCATTCAATCAAATCGGCTTTAAG